CTTGTGTGCATTGTTCCGGTGACAACAATGCACCTATGCTCAGAGCAGTAAAAAATATAGTGTTTTTTTTACTCTTGTGTGCGAGAGGCCTTAAAAAAAATCCATACACATCCACTACTTAATAGCCCTGTAATCTACACTATATTGCCGAAAGTATTGGGCCACCTGCCTTTATACACACATGAACTTTAATGGCATCCCAGTCTTAGTCCGTAGAGTTCAATATTGAGTTGGCCCCGCCCTTTGCAGCTATAACAGCTTAAACTCTTCTGGGAAGGCTGTCCACAAGGTTTAGGAGTGTGTCTATGGGAAGGTTTGACCATTCTTCCAGAAGTGCATTTGTGAGGTCAGGAACTGATGTCGGGTGAGAAGGCCTGGTTCACAGTCTGCACTCTAATTCATCCCAGAGGTGTTCTATCGGGTTGAGGTCAGGACTCTGTGCAGGCCAGTCAAGTTCCTCCACCCCAAACTCGCTCATCCATATCTTTATGGACCTTGCTTTGTGCACTGGTGCGCAATCATGTTGGAACAGGAAGGGGCCATCCAAAAACTCTTCCCACAAAGTTGGGAGCATGAAATTGTCCAAAAGTCTTAGTATGCTGATGCCTTAAGTGTTCCCTTCTCTGGAACTAAGTGGCCAAGCCCAACCCCTGAAAAACAACCTCACACCATAATCCTCCCTCCACCAAACTTTACACTTGGCACAATGCAGGCAGGCAAGTACCGTTCTTCTGCTAAACCCAGACACGCCCATCGGATTGCCAGACAGTGAAGCATGATTCGTCACTCCACTGCTCTAGAGTCCAGTGGCGGCGTGCTTTACACCACTGCATCCGATGCTTTGCATTGCACTTGGTGATGTAAGGCTTGGATGCAGCTGCTTGGCCATGGATACCCATTCCATGAAGCTCTCTATGCACTGTTGTTGTGCTAATCTGAAGGTAACATGAAGTTTGGAGGTCTTTAGCTATTGACTCTTGGTGATTTCTGCGTACTGTGCACTTCATCATGCGTTGACCCCGCTCTGTCATTTTATGTGGCCTACCACTTCGTGGTTGAGTTGCTGTTGTTCCCAGTTGCTTCCACTTTGTTATAATCCCACTAACAGTTGACCGTGGAATATTTAATAGCAAGGAAATTGCACGGATGGATTTATTGCACAGGTAACAACCTATCACGGTAGAACGCTTGAATTCACTGAGCACCTGAGAGCGACCCATTCTTTCACAAATGTTTGTAGAAGCAGTCTGCATGCCTAGGTGTTTGATTTTATACACTTGTGGCCATGGAGGTGATTGGAACACCTGGATCCAATGATTTGGAGGGGTGTCAAAATACTTTTGGCAATATAGTGTATGTTTCATGAAATCCTTTCTTACCATATATGTATGCCTCCTTGTAATGTCTTCTATGAGTTCCCAAACCTCTCCTTTCCCTCCCACTTCCTTTTGTTTGGCACAAGCAGTGCACATTAGTTGCGGTCATGTGCATTGCTCTATGCACACTACACATCCCATATTTCATAGTCTGGAAGAGAGCAAGAGAGAGTGGCTATGCTCCTCCATAGAGCAGGAGCATGGAGAACAATCATAGGTTGTAGGAACATCTTTACGTGCCCCATATCCTTGCTGGACTTGGGACCTTTCTTTCTTCCAATGTCTGTCAGCAAATTCTCCTATCTTTAACCACAGTGTAGTGAGAATATGCAACAGCCTATATATTGAAGAATACATTAGGGAGAAAATGTTGTGTTTTGACTGTATGCAGTAACTCACTCACAAGCTCCTATACCACATCTGTTTCTGTGCTATCGTACTGATATGCAATGTACTGCAATGCAATGTATTATACCATGTACTTTTCTTGCTGTACTTACAGTGTTTCTAAACCCGTGACCCTGCATTCAGAATAGAATAGAAAATAAAAGAATAGAATAAAATAGAAAGAATAAAATAGACTAGAATAAAATTGAAAAGAATTGAATAGAAAAAAATAGAATAGAACAGAATGAATATAACCATCTTCTGAAATTCGAATTTTGAATAGAATAGAACCAGCTATTCTTCACAATGGTTTTGGGTAAATTTAACATTTTAGATTCAAATTTGATTTGCATTCAATTTGAATACTTTGAATCCATTGGAAAAATTTGTATCCGGTCGAAAACGAATAAAAGAAATGAAACTAAACAAATTTCGTTACGAATGCAACAAAACGAAATTAGCAAATTATCAAGTTAATCCGAAATTAAACTTAACACATTTTTTTGTTCTGCATATGTCTATTCTCCAGATTGGGCTGCAAACACCTTCCCTTCTCCTCATCTCCTTTACAAAGAGGGGCATTGCTTAGTAGTTCTGAGGAGAAAGCTGAGAAAGAGGACAACATTGTTTGAGATTTCAGTTCACTGGAAGTTACGTATATTTAGCCTGAGAAAGGAGAACTAATGCACCAACAACATCTAAGAGGACTTATATCCTGCAATATGTTACATTTGGATTTAGATACATATAAATAATAATAATTGTAGTTCACTGTAGGCAAATCAGTGAAAGATGGATTCCGCCCGGCTGCAAGGGGTTACTGTGCCTCACGCGTTTCTCTGTGACTTACTGTAAGCCTGTTATTAGTATCAGCCACGAACATAAACCAGTCTCTAGGATGTTAGCTCAGACATAGTCGTGTGCATGCTCCCTATATTCTGTTTCCATTTTCTTTACCTTCCTCCAGCTTTCTGTCCTTTTGTCCTTGGCACCAGCTTAGACAGTAATTGCCATTACATTGCCTGCTGTTTGGTCTCTCCTTGGTTTGTCTGTAGATGCCACTAGGAATATAACCTAATCCATGCTCTCCCCAAACACAATTGTTTTCTGCATTCGCCCCATGCTGTTTGAGTGAGTGAAGATGAAGTCACCTTGTGACCTAGATCACCCGACTCATAATCTGCCATTATTCAGTGCCAGAGTGCGGCCATGATGTAACTTATTCATTCTAGATAACTGGAACAACACACATGGAGCCATATTAGGTATAATATATAACAAGAAGTATAAAAAATAGGTTTCCTAAAATCCCCACACATTATTTTTCCAGGCAAGATTGAAATTACCTTCAGCAGGGCTGAATTTCTGCATAGATTAACATAGGCCATGACCTAGGGCCACAGGGTTGTTAGGGACAGCATTCAGCTACCCACACATCATGGATCAGACCGCCACTCTGCCTGCCAGTGCAATCTCTACACCAATTGTGACATTGCGGCCTGCATTTTGTGAATGAAGCATAATGCTGAACGTGATGTGGGGTAATATTGTGATGTCTAGTGGATAGCCATAAAGACTCATAAGGGGTCTATTTATAAAAATAAAATAAAAAAAAATATCCAGTGAATCAGTATGTACCTGTACATTAACTGAGAAAGTAAAAAAAATTAATTAGTTTATGCTATTTTCTCTTCCAAACAAATATTTTTCTATTATTTGCAGTAGTAAAATACACAATATAGCCATTATATGCTGCCGAGGAGCATAGAAAATACATACATTATATTGCCAAAAGTATATGGCCAGCCCTCCAAATCATTGGATCCAGGTGTTCCAATCCCCTCCATGGCCACAGGTGTATAAAATCAAGCACCCAGGCATGCAGACTGCTTCTACAAACATTTGTGAAAGAATGGGTCGCTCTCAGGAGCTCAGTGAATTCAAGCGTGGTACCGTGATAGGTTGCCACCTGTGCAATAAGTCCATCTGTGACATTTCCTTGCTACTAAATATTCCACGGTCAACTGTTAGTGGTATTATAACAAAGTGGAAGCAACTGGGAACAACAGCAACTCAGCTACAAAGTGGTAGGCCATGTAAAATGACAGAGCGGGGTCAGTGCATGCTGAAGTGCACAGTGCATAGAAGTCACCAACTGTCTGCAGAGTCAATAGCTAAAGACCTCCAAACCATGTGGCCTTCAGATTAGCACAACAACAGTGCATAGAGATCTTCATGGAATAGGTTTCCATGGCCGAGCAGCTGCATCCAAGCCTTACATCACCAAGTGCAATGCAAAGCGTCGGATGCAGTGGTGTAAAGCACGCCGCCACTGGACTCTAGAGCAGTGGAGACAATCTTATGAATGTGTCTGAGTTTGGCGGCTGCCAGGAGAACGGTACTTGCTTGACTGCATTGTGCCAAGTGTAAAGTTTGGTGGAGGGGGGATTATGGTGTGGAGTTGTTTTTCAGGGGTTGGGTTTGGCCCCTTAGCGCCAGTGAAGGGAACTCTTAAGGTGTCAGCATACCAAGACATTTTGGACAATTTCATGCTTCCAACTTTGTGGGAACAGTTTGGAGATGGCCCCTTCCTGTTCCAACATGACTACACACCAGTGCACAAAGCAAGGTCCATAAAGACATGGATGAGCGAGTTTGGGGTGGAGAAACTTGACTGTCCTGCACAGAGTCCTGACCTCAACCCGATAGAACACCTTTGGGATGAGGTTAAACTGCGAGCCAGACCTTCTCATCTGACATCAGTGCCTGACCTCACAAATGTGCTTCTGGAAGAATGGTAAAACATTCCCATAGACACACTCCTAAATCTTGCGGACGGCCTTCCCAGAAGACTTGAAGCTGTTATAGCTGCAAAGGCAGGTGTCCCAGTACTTTAGGCAATATAGTGTATGTCTTTGCAACAAGAGATGCTGATATCTACTAGACTGTTACTGTTCGGAGCCAACAGATGGATATTCATGGCTGTGTGGGTAAACTGCTCGCCAGCAAAAACCAAATGAAATGTGTTCAGTGTAGTATCTAATTTTTTTTTAATTAGCACAAGTTATAGGTAACAGCAAGCATTGATGGCTATCACATCTGAAACTATGCAGCAGCGTGATGTCAGCACTGTTAACTCCACCCAACGCGTTTCTCGCTCTAGCATATCCTCAGGGGTCATCCTCAGGGCTTTTGAGTGAACAAGCTGAAGTTAGAAGCTGATTGGCTACCATGCAGAGCTGCACAAGATTCTGAGTGCTCCAGTTTCAGTAAACCTGCCCCACTGCAACAACTCCAGGGCAGGGGCGGACTGACAACTCATGGGGCCCCCGGGCAATAGGTGATCATGGGGCCCCTGTGTCCTTGCCCAAACTCAAAAAATCCTATGAAAAAGGTACCAGGGGCATCTCATGGGGCCCCCTACTGACCCCGGGCCCTCGGGCAGTGCCCGAGTTTCCAAATGGTCAGTCCGCCCCTACTCCAGGGTACACTTATAGGGGATTAACAAATAAATGGAACTAATGGGTACATTTGCACAGAATGTACATTCAGATTCACTGGACGAATGGCTATGAATTTTTTTTTTTTTTATAAAAGGCCCCTATAGTCTCCCCTTGAAGTGTTTGTAACCCTGAATTTCTCTTGTTTTCTTTTTTTGTTGTTAAGCGGCATTAAACCCAAAAACAAACATTTATTACATTGCAGCTTACCAATTCCTAAATGTGATGGCTGCATTAGTTTTTCTTTTTTAGACTTTCTTCCGTCTATTTTCATCTGGTGAGACAGCCGGTAAGTCTGTTGTTCTTCGAAAGAACAAGCTCTCCAGCAGAATGTATCAGTTACAGAGATGAGGCAAATCATTTAATATTGACAGGGATGCTTATAATGATCAGCTTTTTGTCTTTAGGTAAACTCCTTATCCCAAAAGGAAAAAAAAACAGTTTTCTATAACTGCTTATAAAATATTAGCTGGAGTTTGGCTTCAATCTGTTAGTTTATTAAAAAGAGAAGTTTTAGGCTGGGGTTCCGAAACTATACTTACCTAGGTGGATGCAGCATCGGTCTAAGTGTGAGAACTCAGCGATTACATGACCACTGATCCCTGAGTTCCCACCGCCACTGTGAGCAGAGAGTGGTGACAGTCAGGTGCCGCTCTGGACTCTGGGGTGGATCCCAACTTTAAAGTTGGGATCTTTCCCAATCCTCGACTGGCTGAGTGATGTCAGGCAGCAGCGGGATTCAGCTCGTTGTCAGCTGAAAACTGGTTACAGGTCACGAGCTGCACTCCTGTGATCCACACAAGTACAGCCAAAGCTTTCTTTCCTTTAACCACTTCCAGTCCGGACACTTTTACCCCCTTCCTGTCCAGGGCAATTTTCAGCTTTCAGCGCTATCACACTTTGAATGACAATTGCACGGTCATGCAACACTGTACCCATATGAATTTTTTCCATTTTTTTGAGACAGATAAAGCTTTATTTTGGTGGTATTTATTTCCCACTGGGGTTTTTATTTTTTTTGCTATGTAAATGAAAAAGTCCCAAAATTTAGAAAAAAAAGTGTTTTTTCTTATAAAATTTTGCAAATAAATAATCTTTCATCATAAATCTTGGCCGAAATGTATTCCGTTATATTTTTAGTAAAAAAAAAAAATAAGCCAAATTAGTTTATAACCAAAAATTATAATTTTTAAACTTTTTTACATTTTTATTTTATTTTTTTTATATTATTATTTATGTTTTGGGTTTTTTTACATATTGTCACCCTAGCAGTACAGTGTCACCATGGTGACACTGTACTACTTGTGGGGGTGATGAAGATTATTTTTTTTTTTTTGTACAGTGATTGCTTTTACACCCATATAGGATGTAAAAGCAATCATTTCTCTTTCTCTCTGTCTGCATTCTTGCAGCCATTGAGAAATACTGAGTGAGCTGTGATTGGTCACAGCTTGTCACATGGTACAAGGCTGTTGTGAATAGCCTTGTACCATGTGACCTCTGTGATCATTCACAGATTTCACACGTAGTAAGCAATGATGTCACAAGTGACATCTTGCTTACTACCTTGCATGTGATCACTGATTGGCCTATCAGTGATCACATGATCGGGACCTTGTACAGAGGTCCTGTCTGACGATCGGTGTTTCACTGTGTCCGGATTGCGGTGTTGCGCACTCCCAGGGAGCGCGCACAGCTAGAAATGGCGGGTGCCGTTTATGAACAGCAACCCGCCCCTGGAGTACCACCGTCCTGCCGTTTATAAACAGCAGGCGGACGGCAAGGGGTTAAATCTGCTAGTACATCTAACAATCCCCTCCCTTTAGTCTGACAATGCTGCTGTCCAGATGTGCCCCTGTGCGTCTTCATTCAGAGTGGAGGCACTCTAGGACACACAGGAGGTGTGTTACTGGCCATATCACCAGGTGAAAACAGATGGAAAACAAACTAAAAAAAAAACAGCAAGAAAATTCAGGCAGCCACTGCATCTAATGATTGGTAAGCTGAAATATATGACATTTTTAGCTTAGGGTTTCATTCTATTTTTAAATATACTATTAATTGCAATTTGTAAGATTTGTTTAATAAATGCATACAAATACCAGTTGATCCTACCAGAAACCCAGTGAACTTGTAACTTCCTGTACAACCTGCATTATTATCTTAGGCCATCTTAACTGCCTTTCCCAGTTCTCCTCTGAGGACTACATAAAACATCTCACCATGTTATCAAAAAGACGAAAGGGGAAAGTGTTAAGTAAAGTCTTCTGCACTTCCGCCTGGCAGTACTAAGCTCGTTGGTTTGAATCCCAACAACGGCACCTCCTGCCTGGAGTTTGCATGTACTCCCTTTGTGTGCTTGGGTTTCCTCCGGTAGTCTGGTTTCCTCTCACACTCCAAAGACATGCTGGTAGGTGAATTGGCTCCTGTCTAAATTGGCCCTAGTATGTGTATATATGAATCTAAGTTAGGGACCTTAGATTGTACGCTCCTTGAGGGTTAGGGACTGATGTGAATGTAATATATATATATATGTAAAGCGCTGCGTAAATTGACGGCGCTATATAAGTACCTGAAATAACACATAAAATAAATAGTCCTAACCCACTTCCTGTCTTAGGATGACAACACTGCTCTTCCACAGACATAGCATTGTAAGTGACCATTGCCAGCTTAGGACAGGAAGTGTTACTGGCAGGATTACCAGGTGAAAGTAAAGAGAAATAGTTCCTGAAGAAAAAAAAAATTGAGCCACCAGTATGTTTAACCAGTTCCCCCCCAACCTATAGACAAAGGATGGCTAGGATATGAAGTCCTCCCCAGAACACCCCTCACACAGGCCCCTGATGACAGATCGCGGTACCAGCCTGCTGCTGGTACCATTTGATCGCTGTGACCAATCACAGCAGATCACATGACAATTGTACACAATGGATGGCTTTCATTCATGCCATCCATTGTGTACTATTGTGCTGCTCGCTGTGATTGGTGATCAACATGATACATCCCATCAGTACCATGTGATTAGCTGTGGCCAATTACAGCTAATCACAAGACATACTGAATGAATCAATTTTATTCAGTAAAAATTCACTGTTACAATCAAACATAATGTGTGAAAAAAAAAATCCTAATTACCTCCCCAGAGTCGTAGAATGTTACTATAGTAACATTGTATTGCTTTGGTATTGCTTTGGTCACAGTATATATTTAAAGTAAAAAAAAAATTTAATAAAAAAAGCAGAACAATTATAAAAAAAATAAATAAATAAACTATATACATATATGTACCACTATCCCCTCCCTCCTAGATTGTAAGCTCCAAAGAGCAGGGCCCTCAGTCCCCTCATGTTTTGTATTGTATTGGTATTGTTCTGTCACATGTTCTGTCCCCCTTTGTAATGTACAGCGCTGAGCGAACTATTGGCGCTTTATAAATACTGTATAATAATAATAATATATATATATATATATATATATATATATATATTTTTTTTTTTTTACTGTCACCAGTCAGTGTCCCTGATCACTGCCACACCAGTTATATGATTATACTGTACTGCACTGGTGGCAGTATGTAAAAGCAATATATATACATTTCTTTATTTTCCAAACAAATTGTGACTAACAAACCTACAACTTAAAAAATTCACCATGCCTCTTACTAAGTAGCTTGGACTGTCTGCTTTCCAAAAAGGGGGTCATCTGATGGATATTTGTACTGTACTGGCGTTTTCGGGCCTCAAGAAATGAGATTGGCGGTCAGTGCATCAGGATTGATTTTCAGATATATATCCCATACTTTGTGGACTCTATAACTTTCCTACAGACTAAATAATATGCACTGATTTGGGCTTATTTTTATCAAAGAAATATAGCAGAATACATTTTGGCCTAAATTTATGAAGAAAGATTACTTATTTGCAAAATTTTATAAAAGAAACAAAAGAAAATGTATTTTATTTTAATTGTTTTTTTTTGGAAAAAATAAAAACACCCAGTGGTGATTACATACCACCAAAAGAAAGCTCTATTCAAGCTCTATTCAAAGTATGACAGTACTGAAAACTGAAAATTGGCCTGGGCAGGAACGGGGCGAAAGTGCCCGGTATTGAAGTGGTTAAAAAGATTCTGTTACCATCTTAGACATTGAAAGGGCATTGATAGTAATAAACATACAAAAGGATTTCCTGTCTCTCCCTATTTTTTCACACTTCTCAGATGACAGCAATGAGGCTGTGTTGGAGTATACCGTCACACTTTAGGCACCAGTGGCTAGTAATATCTGTAGCTATTACTATGAATGAATGATAATGGTCAAATTGGGGAGGGGGGGGGGGGGGGGGAGATGCTGTGAGAAAACAGGCTGAAGGTGCCTCTAATGTTACTTTGAGGTGTCAGAGGCTTCTCTAAATATCAGAATAAATTTACCAGCAAACAAGTCATGAAAGTTTTTGTTCTGGGTTTATATTACTACCATTATTCATTATTTATTGAAAACATTTGTGTCTGAGATGGTGGTGGTATATATGAAGAAAACCTGAGTTTGCTTTAATCACACCCTTCCCAGCATACTCCTTCATTCCTCCATTGCCCTGTTCATCCAAGATTGAAAAAATTGTCACGTACTCCTGGGTATGGATGAGCATGTGACACACTCCATGTGACAGTACTAGGCCAATCACTGAGCATCATCACCATCACATGGAGTCCATACCTGTGTAAGCTGCCGCTTGAATGGTTGAATGACTTTTAGAGTACACAGGGCAGCTTCTGCTGTTTTCTGGGGGCTTCTGGGGGGGGGGGGGGGGGGTAGCAAGGAAAAGGTGAGTATGCGTAGCTGGGTTGGGGGGGGGGAAGTAAACTTGTTGCTTTGCCATCCATAGGCATTCATTATTTTTCACTGTGCAGTAGGTGTGAATGTTAAACTTCAAGCCTACTCCAAAAACTAACCTGATGCTTTTCTGCCTTGGACCAGTAGG